AATAAAGTTTATTGTTTATATTTTATATATAAATTAAAATATTTAATAAGAAATTATTATTTAATTATATTTATATTTAATCTATATTTGTTATATTTTTCATAATTTTATATATTTTTATTCAAATTTCTTGTATAATTATAAATTAACTTATTATATATTAATATATTTTTATAATATGAATAATATTATATGAATTTTTATAAATCTATATAATATTTAATTAAAATATTTATTAATATAATATTTAATTAAAAAAGTAAAATAAATAGTAATAGCTGAAGATATATATTAAAGAATTAATTTTAGTAATTAAATATAGTAAAAATTGAAGTTTTCTCTCTATATTAAAGTTTATAATTTTTTAAAAAATAATTTTATTTTTTATATCAAAATAAAATTCATAAATTATAGTTTAAAAATACATTTTTTCAGAATTTTTAGTTTTTTTCTGAAAGAATTATTCTAATTATAAAGTCATTATAAAATATTTTTCTAATTAAAAATAAAAATTAATTAGAAAAAAATTTGCAATAACTCTGCAATTAGAACAACTCTTTCAGAAATAATCTAAAAAATTTATTTTAATCTATAATTTATAAACTTTGATTTGATTAAATTATTTAATAAAACTATAAATTTTACTTTTGAGAGAATATTTCAATTTTTATGGGAATCACTGCATAAAGCAAAAAGTTAAATTTAAATTATATATATTATATATTAGACAAATTTTCTTATATTAAATTTTAATATATATTATCTGATGATAATATTCAGAAAATATTTAAATTTATTACTAAAAATTTTATTGATAATCATTTTTATTTTTATTATTAAAATAAAATTAATAATTTATATTAAATTTTTTTTTGATTTTTTGATTTAATTCTTCTAATTGTAATCATTATAAAATTATTTATGGTTGAATTATAATTTAATTATAAATCACTTTACAATAATTATATAATTAGAAAATTTCAGAATAAATCTAAAAATATATATTAAATAAGTTATCAATACGAAAATAAAATTTGTATGTTGATATAAATTAATACTTTATATAAAAAGAAAATTTTTATTTTTATTATAAATTCAAGAATTGTTCAGAGATTTTTTCAGGATTATGTATATTAAAAAAATCTTTATACTAATAGAATTGATTTCAATTTCTAATGTTAGATATATATCGAAAATTTAAAAACAATTACTATAAATTGATAATATTTATTTTATAGTTATAATTTAAAAACAAATCTTTATTGAAGGTTAATTTTTAGTTTGAATGAATGAAAATATTTAATGAATTTAAAACTGAAATTTTTTGCAACTAATTTATCTTAAATTTTTTTAATTGACCTTATTGTAAAATTAAAAGAATAATAAATATAATCAATTCCAGAAAGTGTTGATTTTAAAAACATAACGTAATAAAAAACTGTGAGTCTAGAGTTACTATTTCGAGCGCAAAAAAGTGTAGTATACGTATAAATGCGGGTAGACCGCAAAGAATTTTATTTTATTCTATTTACATTCACACGACCAAAAGATCCATTATCGTTACGATATCTGGATCGTAAATGAATGCATTTTGGGTGAAAACATCTAAAGTAAAAAAGAGGGGACATAATGACAGGATGAGTAACGTGACAAACATGGTACATGTATTAATGAAGAAGTAAAATGTCTACCCATTAGCACTTCTTAAGATAACATCTCGTTATAATAGTACCAGCACGCTATTGTGTTTGATTCCATTATCGTTATACTACATTTATTAAAAACATGATTTCCAAATAAAGATTTTCCCGTAAAACATGTGGGGAATTTTTGTAGGTTAGAATGGATTCTTGCTAATCAATACTTCTTATAGATGATATGCAAACTCGAATTAATATTACATGTTCTATCATATGTTAAAATACGAAAAAATTCGAAAAGTCATGACATTTAGAAAAGAAATTCCATTCTAATTTTCAAAAATCAAAGCATCTCATGTTTAACACACCCACAGGAATATGATAAACGACAGCATGCTGTCCAAATAGCAATTCGAAATAGCAATATAAGTTATTACAAAAAGAATACATTAGGTTTCTTTTATTTTACTTATTCTTACTCACTTTTTTTGTCATTTAAGTATTTCCTTTTTATCCCAGATAATAATTAATATACCAAACCAAAACTCTCGTTGTCTTTTAGCTGTTTGCAAGTCACCCTCTCTTTGATAGCAAAAGCTCTTTAATCGATATCAAAGATTGGATGACTTTGCATAACTGCAATCTCCCGTCAACTACTTTTTTTTAATGATAAAAAGACAAAAATTTGTAATTTTCTTTTAGACTGGTTTTTTAATTGCTGAGTTAATAAAATACCTTCATATAAATCCTCTGGAGTTAAAAAGTATAGAAATTCGATATAACATAACATAAAACCTTTATGAAATTTAATCTCTAAAAATGAGTTATTATGACAAATGTGCCGGTCATGCGTCGTCTGACAGTATTTCACCTAAGGAAACCGAGATTCGAAATTCAATATTATCATACACAACCTACCATGATAGAGAATTGGCAAAAAAAAGATCATCAAATCAACTCTACGGCTACGACGACACAAGTATTTGGTATAAGAAAAAAGGAGCATGGATATGCGGCGGAATCCTTGCCATAGTCCTTGCCATATTAATTCCAATTATTTTGTTCGTCATTTTCCCCGCGTCTGTTCAGCGAGCAGTTTATAATGCGAATACGACGTTTGACTCGTTAATGATCACTACAGAGGGTGAGAATCAATTCCATTTAAACATGAACGGAAGTATTACAAACGTTGGACAACTTAAAGCGGTTGTATCTTATCCGGAGCCGGCTGAGGTGCATTGGAACGGAAATAAACTTGGGACAATAAGTTTACCGGATATTTTGATTAATGAAGGAAATGGAAAACTCGATAACGATGGAGATCTCATGATCACTGATCCAGATGCATTTGCTAATTTTACAAGGGTTCACTTGACTGAAGAAACTTTCACTTGGACTCTTAAATCGAAGATTAACGTGCAAGTATTGGGTATCGTCAAAAAGGATCTTTATCTTGAAAAAGCAATCACTCTTAAAGGTAATTGTTATTGAATGAAATGACATACGTTAGGTTATTATGGTATTTTTTATGATTTTTCATAATTTTTATTTATTATAGGCGCAAATGGATTCAAGGATGTGAAAGTAACTTATTTTAATATAATAAAGGATCCCGCCAACAATAATATATATAAACAAGTTATCTCGACAAGTCTTTATAATCCTTCGCCAATTGGCATACACATTGGTACTCTCAATCTAAATATTTCCATTGATAAAGCGTCTATCGGTTCAGTAAACTCAGTTGACAAAAATCTTACCATATATCCCGGGTATAATGAAATGAATTTCAGCGGAATCGTAGACATTGAACAAACTGAACAAGGTTTACAAACATTGTCTAAATTTATACAAGATTACACAAATAATGTTGCAATCCCCATCACAGCAACCGGCGCTTATATGAATGGTAGTGATCAAACATTTGAGTTTACTGCCAGTGTCCAAAGATACAATGGACTGTCTATAGCTTCAGCTCTTATTCAATCCATCACACTTTCAAAAGCATCGTTAAAGTTCAACAAATCTGAGGATGGTTTGACGTCATTTATATCTGCAGAAAATGCCATAGCAAATTACCAATTCCCCTTCGATATCCCCTTTAAAGTTTCACAAGTCAAGCAAAACATTGCACTATGGTATCATGATGTTGCATTAGCAGCTTTGGAATCACCATGGGCTCAAGCTTCCAATGACGAGAATAAAATTCACTTGCCAATTCCTCCAAGTCCATTAAAAATCATTGATGGACAACAAAAAAATTTTGGAAAATTTATTGCTGCGTTGGCGTCCAAAGATAATGTTCCTTTTGAACTTCGTGGGAATACTGAGGTCCGTGCTAAAACTGGGATCGGAAATATCGAAATAAAGGGTAAATTTCACTTAATTACTTGATCGTATATATATAATATATGAGTATTAATTTGTAATTATGCATTATTGATACAGGTTTTGATTTTAAAGCATCTTCTAACTTAAAAGGTATGTCTGCTGTTTTCATTTTTTAAGAATACCATTTATTGATAATCAATCTTTTTTCCGAATAGGTTTTAACGGATTAAATTACGTTGTTGGTGGTAAGGGACTCGATGGTGTGCTGTGCCTAATTTTTCACTTTAATTTTGCCAAATTAATGATATATTTAATTAACATGGTTATTTAAACGAACAAAAAAAAATTAGCAAGTTTATCCCAACCATCCGAGCTAATTTTAGATTTCAAGATCACATCAAATGGCAGTAAAATTTCAAGTGGTAAAATATCATTATCATTTTTTTTTATTATTTACTTAAGTTTATAATTTTGATTATTGATTATTATTTTGTAGAAAAATCTCTTATCGAGATACTTAAAACTACCGGAAGTCCAATTATTCAAGGATTAATTGATACAGCTAAATTAAGTTTCGATAGCATCATGCTCACAAATTTATCCGACACCAAATTCAACTCTGTAGTAAAAGGCAAAATCTCAAATACTGGTCCAGTAGCCGCAGAAATTATATTTACTAAAGAAGTAGTGGTCTCTTCAAACGGCAAACAACTTGGGTTTATGCACATGCAGCCAATTAAAACAACAGCTAATGGTTACGGCTCATTAAATTCGACTATTACATTCACAGTCACAAATCCAGATGCACTTGAACAATTCACTGAACAACTTATTGGCAATCCGAGCGCAAAATTGGAACTCTCTAGCACAGGACTTATTGTTAGTGTACTTGGTGTTAATTTCACAGATTTGACTTTTAATAAAGAGGTGCTGTTGAAAGGGTCTAATGGTTTCAAGAATGATGTGAAAATTCTGGCCTTTAACCTTTCTGAAAGTGCGTCCGAAGGAGGTATGGCAATGGAAGCTCAGACAGCAATTTTCAATCATGGACCTGTTGGAATTGATGCTGGCGCTTTATCCTTCAAACCGGTTTTTGAAGACGTTGAATTTGAACCTGTGTCTGCTTCTAACGTGATACTTCAACCTGGATCAAATAATATCTTGAAATTGAAGGGAAGAATCACAAACAAAACTAATCCTCGTGACGTCGCTGCAATCTCGAAATTATTCAGGTAAGAAAATGTAATACACAATTAAACATTATTATATCTAATGTACATATATTCTTTAGTTTATTTGCCACCGGAACTCCAATCACATTGCAAACAGTCGTCACTAACGCAACACCATCTAGTGGGTCATGCCAATGGCTCAGTAAGGCACTTAGCAAGCGCTCACTTGATGTCGTTTTAAAATCGTCTCAGCCCGACTTGATTACATTCGTCGAAATCAAATCAGCCAATACAACATTTACCACCAGCACTGCATACAAACCTTTACTCTCTTCTGACATTGTCTCTGGATTCTCCAATTCATTTGGTGTTCCAATCGATATTTTAGCAATTGAGCAATCGATTGATGTATTCAATAATCATGTTAATATGGCCAAATTGGTTGTGCCTTTAACTCCGGTAAAGACTAACGTAAAGAAACAAACTATGGAGGTTGTATTTAAAGATGTGCCATTAGTTGTTAATAGTGGACAAAAAAGCAACTTTAATGAATATAGTAAGTATATCAAATGATTGTATATAATTCTTATTATTAAAAATGTGATTTTCTAATTGTTCTCGTCTGATTTTAGTAAAGGAGATCACTCTTGAAAAATCAAAGGAACTTCAGTTTAAAGGAATAGCAAACATAACTGTAAAAACGCCTGCTGGTACTTTTAACGTAACAGGCGTCAAATTTAATGCAAAGACAAAAGTAACTGGTTAGTATTCAAAGCAATTACTTCAACACTTTAGCAATGTATCACATCACTAAAATATATATTGAATAATAGGCTTCCAAGGTTTTACCAAGAATCCAGTTTCAGTATCGGACTTGGACGTAGTTTCCGGCACACCTACCGCCCTTTTTCTAAATGTAAAAACATCCCTCTTTAATCCATCCAATTTCGCAATTAAAGCAGGCGACATTTCATTCCTCTTTTCAGCATCTAATGCAACACTAGGCACTGTAAATATCAAAGGACTCTCCATGTTACCAGGAAAAAATTCGCTTAATGCAGTCGTCAATTTCTCGCCTAAGGCTGCTGATGTCTCGGTAGCACTTAACTTACTAACCAACTTCTTAGAAGGTGTTGACCAAAATGTCAGTATCTCAGGGTCCGAAAATTCAACACCAATCGAAAGTCTTCAAGAAGCGTTTGCTGGAATTAGTTTGAACACTAAATTCCCTGGAAACAAGAAACCATTGTTGGTTTCCACTTCATTAGGTTTCAATAAGGATACTTTAACGACGGGAAACGCTACCGGAAGTGTCACCCTCTCAAATCCATTCTCAGCTTCAATCACATTGCTTACCATCAATTCTAATGTCACATTCAAAGGAATCCCATTAGCGACAATCAATATACCGAAGCTTCCTAAACCGATTACTATTCCTGGAAAAGTCACCAACTTTGTAACCAAGCCATTACCAATCAAACTTAATTTAGACCCTTTGACTATTTTGAGAGTAATTATATCGTTGTTTGATGTCAACCCCTCTGATATTGGAAATAAGATTTCATCGCTTAATAACACCATTCCTGAGCTTGGAGACATAATTTCATCGCTTACTAGCGGCATTATTGATATTGAAGATATATTTTCATCGCTTGATAACGGCATTCCTGATGTTGGAGATATAATTCCATTGCTTAATAGCAGCATTCCTGATATTGGAGATATAATTCCATCGCTTAATAGCAGCATTCCCGATATTGGAGATATAATTCCTGATGTGGTTTCATCTCTTATTCCTAACAGTGGTGGCAGCACTTCAGTCTTCAAAAAACGTGCTGAAGAACCTTTCAGTTTTTTGAAGGTTGATATCGCGTTGACTTCTTTGGCCTCTATTGATCAATTTCTGACAATATTGAATTTCACACAAAAAGATGTGCCCGTTACATTTGGTAGGACTTAAGTCTATATTTCTATTAGAAAATTGATTACTTGTGCGTTCTAATGAGTTTTTTGCGCTCAGACGGTTTGAAATTGAACTTGGATGATCCCATTTTGAAAGCTTTATTAAAATTGGTAAGCTTAATTAATAACATTACCGTAATTTTCTTCGAATTATACTTTTTAACCTTAAAATTTTTTTAGGCCAGTAGCCTACTTATTCAGCCAATTGTAGATGGAAGCGAGTTGACCACGACCCAAGTAGACATTAAAAATATTAGAGCAAGTTCATTTATTGCACATTTAAAAGGATCAATTACTAATACTGGGGTAAAACTTTCTTATCAAATTCAAGGATTAGTAGTTCAAACGTCAATTGATAAAACTGATATCTTTTTATTTAACTTAGCCAATTGACTCAGAAATCTCATTCCCAACTGGTCTCCAAGTAGCATTTCAAGGTGTCGTACTTGGTAAACTACACCTGCCGCCCATTAAAGCTGCAGCGAATATAGGTGCTACGATTGAGAGTGACGCTAAATTCCAAATTGACGATGTAGAAAAATTCGCAGTATTTACAGGAGATTTGTTGGAGTCGGATAAATTTACTTGGGATTTATCAGCAAATGATGTTAACGTTAAAGTATTTGGAATAGACTTCAATGAAATTTCAATAAAAAAAAGTATTACCCTCAATGGTACGTAAAATTTTGTCAATTCTTTGATTGCTCTTTTATTGAATAGAAATAACGGTTTTTAAAAATAAAACAGGATTTAGTGGATTAAAAAATGTGACAACAAAAGGATTTAAACTTGAAGGCGCATCACCTGACGGAAAAGGTCTAGCATACAAGCTTACTACAGACATCGTTGATTCATCAGACATTGGAATTGATCTAGGAAAGATCGTCTTCAACGTTATAGCTGCGGGAGTCGTTCTTGGTCCAATCAAAGCTAATAATGTGAACCTTGTTGCGAAATCAGAAAATCTAATTCCATTCAAGGGCGAAATCGTTAAAAGTCCAGAAGTAACAAAGTTATTGCCAATATTAATAAATGCACTTGCTACAGGTGCTGCACTTCCAGTTCAAGTTGTTGGGCAAAGTGTTAAGCCACCAGGTGCAAATGGACCAGTACCATGGTTAGAAGAGCCATTCAAAAAACTCTCGTTAAATTTAACTCTGCAACTACCATCGAGCAAAACTACCGGATCACCAGTCAAGAAAGTCCAAATCACTGATTTTGATCTCGTATTCACAGCCGAAACTGCGTTCTCTCCACTCGCGTCCTCAAGTGGAATTGTGTCGCAAGTTGATACATCATCGTTAGGCATTCCAGTTACACTCAAAAAAGTTGCTCAAAACATCGTGATATTGGATGGAAAATCTACTGTCGCATCATTGAATCTTCCATTCTCGGCACCGAAAATTACACGGGACGGAATTGCTGTATCTTTCAAAAATCAACACTTGATCGCCGATGATTCTGAGCAAAATGCTTTTGCAACATTTATCGCAGAATTGACTCTTGCTAAAGAAAAGGATTTCACGTTGGCAGGTACTCTTGGTCTTATTGCTGACACTCCTCTCGGACAAGTTACTTTGAATAACATTCCATTCTCTGCACCTACTTCACTTAAAGGTAAAACTATTATTATATTTATTTTTGATTTCAACTACGCATAAATTATTAATGAGTTTTTATAACGATAGGCTTGCAAGGATTAAAGAGTGCGCCTGTTACTGTAAGCAATGTTGTCGTGCACGGAGGAACTAAAGAATTCTTGGATATTGGTATAACGGTTTCGATCACAAATCCTTCAAATGTTGAAGTCGGAGCAGGTGATGTTGCATTAGATATATTCTTTGGCCAAAGCAAAGTTGGACAAGCCATCCTCAAAAATCTCGTGCTAAATCGTGGAGTAAACTCTATCCCTGCTCAATTTCAATATGCACCAACTGGCGACGCGATAACTGGCGACGGAGCAAATTTACTTGGTAATTTCCTCGAGAATAAAGATTCGCAATTAGTAATCCGAGGAAGTCCTGCGTCAACACCTATCAAATCATTGCAACCGACATTCGCTAATTTGGAATTAAGTTCATCTCTCCAGGGAATCGATAGTCCTTTAATTCGTTCGGTGAACGTGTCGGTTAACCTCGCTACAAATGCGTCTACAACCAGTTTTGTCTTGTTCAATCCTTTAGACGCTGCATTCGGAGTTACTGCCATTCATGTTAAGGCATTCTTATCCGGTAAAACAGAATTAATTGGAACAATTGATATACAAATACCATCACCTGGATTACCGGTACCATCAAAGAAACCTACAACAAGTCCCAGTATACCATTTACCCTTAAAGTTGACCCGACTTCACTAATTCCTATTATTGCTTCCCATGGAGGTAAACTTCCAGTCGATATAAAGCTAAATACTACTGCACTTATTGGCGAATATTCGGCAACAATAAATTACGCCCAAAATAACTTGCTCGCAAATATTGCAGTTACTTAACAAATTCCATTAGTCCTGCAACAAAGACGACATATTTCATATTTTGAACTGCAGAGATGATTCCTAGTTTTTGTGTTAATTTATTTTTGGGAATGTTATTTTAATTTCTATATTGTGAGCATGTAGTATCTAAAATTTAAAAGATCATAAAATGTATCTTTTTACAATAAATTATAGCAATTAAGCAGATGACTAATTGTTCATTAATCAAGTAAAAAACTCCAATCTCTGTGATGAGGGTTAGCTATAAAGATTGCTTTCAAAATATCAAACTGTAATGAAGATAGATCAGCCATTTTCAAAATGGCAGTCTGTTTTTCTTGGAGTGCGTTTATTTCGGTAATATCACTTCCCAACTCTTCCGTATCACTATCAACTATAATGGTTTCTCCAACACCCACGTTGTCTTTCTCGCTTTCTTCCCCATTTATTTCCATATCGTTTGCCCCATCATCATCTGTGTCGACATATACAGTAATAACCTGACGATTGACATGAACATTGGTTTGAAATTTCGGATCAAGTTTTACAAGTGAGTTTACGACACACAAACAATCCGGAAACTCATTAGTGATAACATTGCTCTAAGATTAACATACAGCAATTAATTAAACATAAAGATGAACAAATTTTTGAAAAAGATAATTAACTTGCCAGTCTACCCATGTATTCCAGCGCTCTATTATATTTCTCCAAATAAAGGTAGGGTATCTCCGTCAACTGGACGGCATCATAATTCTCTTGAATTAATGAAATTAAATTTTTCTTTGTCTTCAATTCTTCGATGCGGTCTATCGCACCGGCTTGTTTTGCTCGTGGAATCGAGTAATATCCCTTATTATTAATTCTGAATTTCGATTGTTTGGGTGCTTTTGGCATTTTTGATAAATAATAAAAGAGCGTACATGTATTTATATTTGACGGTGTCGTGTTTGCACAATACATGTATTAATTTAACTTTTTTACATGTACATGTAATACGTCATTGATAACACACAAAATTTTTCAGTAAGTTTGCATTTAACAGTACTTGTACATGTATGATGTAGTCATAATTTCAAATAACTTGGGGGAGAGAAAATTATAGTTTATTTATTAAAAGCTATTGATAAATAAACTTTACAATTATTGTGTATAGTTGTATGTATATCCAAATTGATTTCCCAACCATATAAAACTTTATCGACTTTATTTTTCCTTCTACTTGACGTACAACTACTTTTTATTCACACCTTTCAATAATCTCTTCAAATAAGCATTCACCTCTTTTAATACATTATTTTCATTCTGGAGGAAATTAATTTTCTCATGTGCGACATCACAGCATTTATGCAATAACTTCAACTGTTGCTGGACATCCGCGCATTCTTGTTTCAATTTCTGCAATTCTTCAAAAGATGATTTTCGTTGACTGATTGTTTGTTTCAAGAAAAGCTGGAAAATCGAATTAATCTCTTCATCGTGTATGAATTCACGTTCTTCTGCAGCGTGAGAACTAGATTCTACCAATGGAACTTCTGCCGCGCTATGCTTCATAGTCACTTCATTAAGATCTGTACGTTCACATCTCTCATAAGATTCTTCCTTCCATTCGTCATCTGCTTGCTTATCGGAAACTATATTAAGCGGAACGTCGAGTTCCTCATCGTTTTTGTTTTTTTCGGAGATGTCTACATCGTCTTGAGTAGGAAAACGACGAATGTTCAAATTTTGACGCCTGTAGTAATTACACCGGGATTCCTGTGGTTTTTTATTCCAAAAATTGGAACACCCAAAAAATTTTTTCCCATCTTTTCCTTTGATAACTGCAAAGCGACCACATCTACAAAATGGGATAAATGAATCATTAATTGAATCGGGTGATAATGACGAAAGCAGCGGAGTCGTCGGCATTTTTTTAACAAAGGGGAAAACTAATTGCATTTAATTATGCTTATGCTTGTGCTGTTTGTTCGTTTCAGCCATTTCATTTGTTATATATTTATAATAACTTGGTTAAATCAAAAATCAATCTTGGTGGAAAAATCCATGATAAACATGTGTTTAATCCGATTAAATCAAAAAATCAGCACTGACCAAATATAATAACGATAACAATAACTAAACTAATATCTATCGCTATATTCGATTGATTATGATCAAAATGATTCACAATGAATATTGTATTTTAAAAGAATTTCATCGTTTTAAACCTTAACTGAAGCTCAATGAAGGTAAATTATTATAAATTATCCCAGCATAATTTAAAGTTCACGTGGAAATGATTGTGCGACTTTCGAGGAAGCGAAATTAATTTCTCTCCCTTGTCACATTTCTATACTAATCGAAAGTTGCATATCCAATAAGTATGCATACCACATATTTACAACCCCAAACCATCCAATCAACTAAACTAAATGAATTTACTCTTCTTTCATTTAGGGATTGAGAATAAAAGAGAAAACCACCTTTGAGGTAAGTTATAAACTCTTTTTCTTCTTTTTATAATATTCGTTTAACTAAACATCCACTAAAGCTATTTCACTTTCTACATACATTTTTTGGTTAGGCGAAATTACAAACAAATCAAGGTATGAAACTTTTTGTCACAAACATTATTACATGTATATATATGAAATGAAATTTTGCTGGCAACAGTTCATCATTTTCTGCTTCTGCATTTGGACCTTGATATTTCACCTGTCCTTCTATTCCACTTTCACTCTCTTCTCTATCTCAAAATCTACTGACCCAAAATAAATATATTAAATAATAGCAATAAATAATAGAAAATATTTATTTGAATACTAACTAGCATTATAATAACTAATAAGAAAAGTTCAATATTTTATATATTTAAAATTTGAAATTAAATAATTATTTTTTGTAAATTTGAATTTAAAAAGATTTTAAATAAATATTTTTTATAAATTTAAAAGAATATTTATAAATTTATTTTTTAAAAATAAAAAAGAAAATAATTTGTTATCTAATAGTTTTAATCTTTTTTTTTAAATATTTTTTATAAATTTAAAATATTTATAAATTTATTTTTTAAAAGTAAAAAAAGAAAATAATTTGTTATCTAATAGTTTTATAAATTTATTTTTTAAAAGTAAAAAAAGAAAATAATTAGTTATCTAATAGTTTTAATCTTTTTTTTAAATATTTTTTATAAATTTAAAAGAATATTTATAAATTTATTTTTTAAAAGTAAAAAACGAAAAATAATTTGTTATCTAATAGTTTTAATCTTTTTTTTAAATATTTTTTAAGAATATTTATAAATTTATTTTTTAAAAGTAAAAAACGAAAATAATTTGTTATCTAATATTTTCAATCTTTTTTTTGCATCATTGTCACTATTTTCAGCTGCAATTTTATACCAATATTTAGTCATATTGATATCATTAGAAATACCAATTCCTTTCTCATAACACAATCCAAGATAACGTTGCCCTATAGCATTTCCACCCTCTGCTGATTTCAAGTATCACTCAAATGCTTTTTTCTCATCTTTTTGTGTTCTGATTCCATTTTGATAACACCAACCAAGATTACATTGTCTTAATACATCTCCACCCTCTACTGATTTCAAGTGCCACTCAAATGCTTTTTTCTCATCTTTTTGTATTCTGAAACCATTACGATAACACCAACCAAGATTACATTATCCTGATGCATCTCCACTCTCTGTTGATTTCAAGTACCACTCAAATACTTTTTTCTTATATTTTCATGTTCCGAAACCATTATTTTTTTTTCCCCAAAAAGAGAGGGTGAAGCAAGAATCCATTTATTGAATAAATGCGCGATATAGAATTAAGATACAAGTGATTTACATAGTAGGTCTATTTGTTTGATAAATTTATTATTTCGGAAACTATCTAGATGAATTTTCGC